GTAAAATCCAATCCAATTCATGTTTCCTTGATTTATTGATAGTGTGGGTTACCACTTCTGAGGAAGGGGCGAACTGAGTGCCTCCGCGGCTGGAGGTGGGGCCTGGGGTCCGGAATAAGACCCGCAGGACACACACTGACCAGCAACAGCTGACTTAACATAAAAATAAACTGTATTCCATGTACATATACATATAAATACAAAGTATGCCGTAGTATATATAATAATAATAATAATAATAATAATAATAATAATAATAATTTATTTGTATAGAACCTTTCAAACAAATGTTACGAAGTGCTTCACATTAATCAATTAAAACATCATAAATGACATCAGAAACACAAAAGTACACCAAATCAATTAAAATAACGCAAACAAGAAAGAAATTCAAGTATTAAAAGCCTTATTAAACAAGTAAGTTTTAACTAATGATTTAAAAAAGACAATGAAGAGGCCTGTCTAACATTTAGAGGAAGAGCATTCCACAAGTTAGGAGCCCTGACCATAAAAGCCCTCCCTCCTTCTGTCACCAGTCGAGTTCTGGGATGGAAAGTAAGAACAGATTTAAGGATCTGAGATTGTAAGAGGGGATGCAGGGGGTAAGAAGCTTGGATTTATATGATGGTGCAAGACCGTTCAGGGATTTAAAAACAAACAATACATTTTTTAAATCAATTCTAAAAACCACAGGGAGCCAATGCAACGAGGACAGAACTGGAGAGATGTGCTGATATTTATGGGACATTGTGAGAACTCTAGCTGCAGTGTTTGTTCTAGTTGAAGGTGATACAGAGAAGTTTGGGGCAGACCAGAAAATAAAGAGTTACAATAATCAAGATGACAAGAGACAAATGTATGAATAAGAGTTTCTGCATCAGTTAAAGAGATAAATGTTCTGATTTTGGCAATATTCTTAATTTGAAAAAAAAAATGCTGTTTTAGTGATGTTCTTAAAATGTTTAGAAATCCAAGATCAGAATCAAAGGTTACCCCCAAATTTTTGGCTTCATGAGTGCAGTTCAAACCATGAACAGAAAGGGACTGAACTATTAAATCCCTTTTGGCCTTGGGTACAAAAACCATCACCTCAGTTTTATCGTTGTTGAGTGAAAGAAAATTATCAGACATCCAGGTTTTGATGTCTGTAAGGCAGAGATAAAGTTTATTGTGTGTTTAGAGTGTGGAGAGGTCAGATGGGTTAATAGCCAAATACATCTCGGAAAGAAACATTGAATTTATCAATAACCTGACCGAGTGGTAGCATATAAATAGAAAATAATAGTGGCCCAAGACTGGACCCTTGGGGGACACCACAGTTGAGAGAAGCTGAACTGGAGGAATTACTGCCAGAAATTACCGAAAAAG